CAGTATAACTTGCTTTACAAAGCCCTGATCGCCTTCACAAAACTCGGCAACACAACCAACTTCTCCATCGAGAATGACTCTTTCGCACGGTTTGTTGATTCGGAAAAATTTCAGAAAGCAGTTGAAGATCAATATCTGGTTGGTTGGCTGATGGTTTGATGGGTTGGTTGTTTGATTTGGGTTGGTTGGTTGGTTTGTTGCTGGTGGCGTTCTTTCAAGATAGTGTTCAAACATTTTTTGTTATTTTAGTGGAATTATTTATTATCATTTTTTATATTAACTGTATCATTTTGTTTTTGAAAGATTATTATGGAGAAAAATTTGAATAAAAGAAAAATGAAGAAGAGTTAGTAAAATTTTTTTAGAAACATATTTTGGCTTTTTTATTAATAATATTTTATGTAATTGACGTTAATTTTAAAATTAAAATATTCAGAGAAGAAATCTGCTGACGACCAACACCGCGACGTAAGATTTGTTTCGATAAAAAAGTTAAACAATTTTTGAAAACTAAGAAACCATCCTTTCTATGCACATGTACAAAAAATTGACGCATATACACCGCAGTGCTTCACAAGACCACAAAGTTTTGTACTTTGTGAGATGAATGACAGCCTTACTGGAGACGAATTCTACGAAAACTTGCTGCTAGATGGCTCCACCATTGTCCTCATCGATTCCCCAAACATGAACAAAGTAACTTAATGAAAGAGCTAATTAAAATTGAATTGTTATGCTGTAATTTGGAGCTGTTTTTTGTTGAATTTTATTGAAGATCATTTCAGGTTTTAAAAGCTACTCTTCTACCCGAACCGAAGCAGTCAAAAACCTTCAAAAACTTCAGCCTGGAGAACACGAGCCAGCCTGCAGACGGCGAGGACGACTACAGCGCGCCAGTAAGAATGCCGTGCACGAGCCTCAAACTGACCAACAAATCGACGACTTACGAGAACAAATCGGAGCAAGCAGTTTATGAAAATGTGGCCCTCAGTTGCAGGGAGGTGAAACTCTTCACAGTTTCATCCCTGGATCAGGTGGCTTTCTTGTACGAGGTGCTCAGGGAGACCATCGGCAATCCTACCACTTCTCCGATTCCCATTCTCTTCAGGTTAGCTGTGTTTGGGTGTTAAACTGAATATTGT